CTTGGGGGGTGTTGAAGCCGGCCCGCCATCTTATGTGAGGGCAGAGCGTCCCGGCTGGAGGGCGTGGCGGCCATATTGGTGACGGCTGTGAAGCACATATGGGTCAGTCGCCATGTTTGGTGTTGGCAGAGCCTCGTTGCTTCTTTCCCGTTAACGTGAGTGGGGTTTGAACGGGCCATGTGTAGTGAGAGAGGAAGAGGGGCAGCTCGGCATGGGCACTGGTCCATGGGCACCGGGCCTCCATCTTTCGTAAGGGCAGGGTGCTGCTCCTCCACCCCTCCTCAGGCCAGTGCCCCATCGCCCTCTGGTGGGGAAGGTGAGAGAGTGCACGAGCCCCCACCTTGCCTCGCACGTGTGCAAAGCCTGTGTCATGTACAACATTCCTCACGTGCCAGCAAAACCCCTCACCTTGCAAAGTCCCTCACACGTGTAAAACCCCTCACATGCATGCAAAGCCCCTCGCACATGTGCACGTGTTCACGCTTGCTTCAGTTTCCCCTTCACTCAGCCCTCCCTCATGTGAGTATGTAACACCTCAGGCAGACAAGGTTCCTTGGGTGAATTGGATATCTTTTATTAGACCAACCCAAATAGCTGGAGAATAGTTATTAAGCAAGCTTTCAGGTTCAAAAACCCTTCGTCAGGCTAAGGCAGTTTCAGCAGTCGGTGTGTGCTCTTCCTGGATGGAATGAAAAGACCAACACGGCTACAACCTAAACCCCCTAACACGCCTCACACACGCATGCAGGCTTCTCACATGGAAAAGCATGTCCCCCACAGCACGTGTCCATGGCCAGCAGGCGTGCAAGGAGCCCAGTGACTGTGTGCAAGGAACTAGGAATTGTGCAAGAGGCCAAGCAGGCTGAGCAGCGCTTGAAGGAGCCAAGCAGTCCTTTGAGGGACCCCGGCAGTCGTGCAAGGGGCCTAAAAGACATGCAATGCGCTAGGCAGACAAGGGTCTTTGGGTGAATCTGGTATCTTTTATTAGACCAACGTAAATAGTTGGAAAACAATTATTAAGCAAGCTTTCGGGTTCAAAAACCCTTCGTCAGGCTAAGGCGGTGTCAGCAGTCGGTGTGTGCTCTTCCTGCATGGAATGGCAAATAAAGAAGCCAGCGGCCGGGCTGGGCTGCACACAAGACAGGCGGTCAGTGAAAATGTAGATTGAGGAGTCAATGGGTGAGAGACAGGCTGGGGCCAGCGGGGGAGAGAGAGGAGGGGGATGGAAGTGGAGAGATACCTGGGGAGTCAGATGTCAGGCAGGTATAATGTGTCATAAATCCAGGGTCTATATTTAGTCCATGAATTTTAGTATCCAGGAGGCTGATGAAGTGGAGTTCGTAGGCTCGTCTCTGGGAAGTGTTGTGTAAGTTTCCTTTGAGGATCAGGACTGAAACTAAACCTACTGGATACCTAAACCTACTGGATACTAAAAATCATGGACTAAATATAGACATTGGATTTATGACACATTATAACCCGCCTGACATCTGACTCCCCAGGTATCTCTCCACTATTCATCCCCGTTCTCTCTCTCTCTCACCCCACCCCACCGCCGCCGCTGCCGCCGCCTGTCTCTCACCCATTGACTCCTCAGTTTACATCTTCACTGCCCACCTGTCTTGTCTGCACACCAGCCCGGCCGTTGGCTTCTTTACTTGTCATTCCATCCAGGAAGAGCACACACCGACTGCTGAAACTTCCTTAGCCTGACGAAGGTTTTTGAACCCGAAAGCTTGCTTAATAATTGTTTTCCAACTTTTTAAGTTGGTCTAATAAAAGATATCGGATTCACCCAAAGAACCTTGTCTGCCTATGTCCTTAGACCAACACGGCTACAACCTACACGCCTGATGCAATGAGCTAGGCATTTGTGAGGAGCCCAGCAGCTGTGCGAGGGGGTGAGCAATTGTGCAAGGAGCTTGGCAATCATGAAAGAAGCCCATGGGGTAAGCACTTGTGTAAGGAGCCCAGCAGTCATGGAATGGGTTATGGCATTCCTTCGAGATGCCTGGCAGCTGTGCGAGGGGGTGAGCAGTTGTGCAAGGAGCCCAGCAGCCATGCAAAGGGGTGAGCATCATGCCAGGAGCCCACCAGTCATACGAGGAGCCCGGTACCCATGCAGTGGGCTCAGGCATTTCTTCCAGGAGCCTGACACTTTTGCTAGGGTGGGGGCAATTGTGTCAGAAGCCTGGCACACATGTGAGGAGGTGAGCAGCCGTACAAGGAGCCTAGCAGTTGTGCAAGGAGCCTGGCACTTGTGCAAGGGGGTGAGTAGTAGTGCTAGGAGCCCAGCAGCCATATGAGGGGCTGTGCACTCCCAAGCACCTACTCTCAGCCCCGCTTCCCTTTCCCCTCCCCTGATGCTTGGGGACGCGGCGTTGGGGCCTCGGCAAGCGCTGAAGGGTGACAGGTGCTGACACGGCCGCGTCCCTTGTGGCAAGGGAGGGGAGGAGCCATCCCTGTCCTATATGTCCCTGTCCGTCCCCTCCCCACCCCATAGCCATGGCCCTTCAGGAGGTGGCAAGTGCGCGGCCCTGCTCTCCGCCAGTGCCATGGCCCCCTCGGGCCCCCAGGGCACTGCAGGGCCCACCCTGCCCCCTGCCCCATGGCACCACCACGCTGGCTTTCCGCTGCCACCACGGAGTAGTGGCAGCCGCC